TGTTGTTTCATCTAACGCAGAAGTGGGAAATCACCATGGAAACAATGGAACGTTTTGACAGCAGGAGCAGTCTGAAACATGTCCCCCATTGAACAAATATAGCTCTGGCCACCAATCATTCGAAATAACCCTGGAAATCCCCATTCATGAGGACATTCAAAAACGTATCCCTATGGCTACTAACCAGCTCTCATCCGCGGGATTGTCTTCCAAACAGCCACTCGAAACCAGCCTTTTCCGCAGCCCTGCGGACAATACCAAGCACTCAGACACTTACAACGACGCGACGTGTCAGGCGCGTTACGGGGTGCAACAGACGCCGATGCTGAGATCGAAAGATTCACATGAAAATGTAGAATCTTCCTGCTAATCTTGCTGGTGCTTAGTAGGGAATGGATGGGAATGGGGGAATGAAATCATTATTAACTATGGAAAATCACAATGTTCAATGGAAAAAAAACACTATATATCACCATATTCATTGGCTATGTTTGTTTACCAGAGGGTATATCTCTATATAACTGGGATGTAGATGATGTAGCACGGATATGCTCCAGTACTCCTAGATACTCCTAGGTCCTAGCCACTTTTCTAGGCAACATCTAATGCCTTGCGCTTGCCATGCGTGGCTTGCCATATGGGGTACTGGATGGGCCTACCGTTTCCCAAGGGTCACCCATCCCAACATCATCAATATTCCCCAGCTACATCTTCAATATCACTGGTTGGTGGTTGCTGCTAACCCCTCTGAAAAATGATGGACTTGAAAGTCAGTTGGGATTATGACATTCCCAACTGAATGGAAAGTCATAAAATTCATGTTCCAAACCACCAACCAGATAATTATATAGTAATACATGGTGTACTTGCATCCAAAGTGGGATGCACATAAATGTCAGGCACATCGGAATATGACACTACTCGCCAGTTAGCTCTATTTTTCCCATTTCCATCCATTTCCGAGTTCGAGTTTCTCTCTGCTTTTCTCCGGTATCTCATGGCATTGCCAATCTCAGCTACCCTGCAAAAAATAAATCCTTAGCTGGTTAATAGATATTCCTATTGAAATCACACAAAAAACATTCCAGACTATACCCATCCAAGTTTTACCCAGCTGGTTTCTGGGGTATCTCACAGCGGCGTTTCGACGTCGCGGTCGTCACCGTCGTAACGTGACGACCGAAACGGGCCCCGGGTGAGACTCGAGTTACATGGCGGCACCTGCGAAGGCCCACGAATCGGATCCTTGGTTTATCCATGTGTAAGCCTTAGTTCATCCGTGCATCCCGTAAATGCGGGAATAAGCCATTTACCAACTGGTAATTTGTTACATAGCTATTGAAAATGGCCCAGTCGAAATAGTGGATTTACCCATTGAACATGGTGATTTTCCATAGTTACGTTAGTTGACAAGAGGGTACCAATTGGGATTGGGGCCCCCAAGTAATCTCAAGTAATCCATCATTTTTCCGATCATTTTACAGCCAGGGCTGGGGAGCGATTTGAAAGAGGGTATACCGGTATACCTCATTAGCGCACTCATAACTGTGGTTTGTGAAATGGTGGATGGAAGAAATCCTGCACCAGTTGATAGGTGGTTTATCCCATTATTTCGAGGGTTTCAACCAACCAAGGTGGCTCAGGATTTCTTAACCATTCACCGTATGGCTACTAAGTCACGGTTCCTACTGCCACTTAAGATTCTGGGATATGCACCGCCCACGGAAATTGAACAGGCCAAAAAGCCAGAGGATTTCACACCATTAGAAACCATATGATACAAGGTGGTGCCCCCCCAGTTATAAGTGGGTTTATAAAACCCAATAAGTAGAAATATATCTACATAAACCCAAGTTATTGAGTTATAAACCAACTTAGTTAACTATGGGGCACCACCTTGTATGTTTTTTTTTGCATTCCACAATAAATCATTTTTTGGGCATGGTACCTTAACAAAAACGGCTGAAAACATGGCATGAAACACCATGAATCATGTCCTTTAAAAATAAACTTAAGGAGAGATGACACCTTCTGAAACTTTGGTGTGAGGAGATATTTTAGGAGATACAAGTGAAAAAAAAACATTGAAACATGCTGTTTCAAACTAGCTTCTCCATGTTTGGGAACCCCTCATGTCAATGGCCATTTCAGGATCCTAAATTCGAGGTACCTACCATATATAAGGCCTATTGTTTAGGCCTAAATTTCAGGGAATATCCCCACAAAATATGGCCAAAAATATGGCACAGTACCTCCATTTTAGGATCCTGAAATTCCCATCGATTATTAAAATCCATTAACTATAGTTATATCTACCATAAACCATAGTTAAGCTACTTATAAGGAACCTTAGCTATTTTGGGGGCCCCATCCTGTAGTTATATTCCCATTGACATGAGTGATATTTAGATCACCATGGTGCTTGCATTATTCGGCTTCCAGGAGATGGTTAACCCACGGCAGGCAGGCTGGGAAATCAACGAAGGAATGGAGGTAGAGGATGGGGCCCCGTTGGTTGTTGCGTAAAAAGTTGGTTTATAAATGGCTGAATTAACTACGGTTTATGGTAGATATATCTATAGTTAATGGATGTTATAATGGTTTATAACCAACTTATAACTGTTGGTTTATGGTAGATATAACGAACTAGATAACTATGGTATTCATGGGGTTTATAAACCAACAAACATCACTGGGGGGCCCCATCCGGTTTTTTTAGCTGGGAAATTCCTCTATTGAATAGGAGGACGATTGGACACCCAGTGCCAAAAACCATACCAAATTGGGGTTTATTATTGTATGGACAACTATTGGCGATAATGTAATACATGTGCACCTATTGGGGATAATGTAACTAATACATGACCCCAAAAATGGTTCCTATAAAAACAACCCATGACTGGGGGTCATTTTACACTATCCCCAATAAGGGTTTGCACATTACCCAGATTGAATCGCGGGTCGAATTACTATTCTCTGGAAAACACTCCCGAGCGGCTCCCAGTCTAGCTCGCAAAGTTGCTATGTGTTTATTTTGAAACACATATCGAACTAGTTAAGCTGACAACTGATATATTATAGCTAGCTCTGCCCAGGTATGACAGAAACAGTTGTCTTTTGAATAAAACCATAAGATCTGCGGGTGAAACATCTCTGCTGGGAGTCAGGAAGCTGGCCCCTCATAGTCCCTTAACAAACGTTATCCACCCTTTTGCCATGGAGGGTGACTACCGAAAACCAGCAAGACACAAACGCGGCTGAAAAAAATGTTCGAAATAGACATTTGGATATGAAATATCTATGAATCTGTTGTGTTCTATGCCATGTATAGTTGATATACCCATTAAAAATTGTGATTTTCCATAGCTATGTTAGTTTACCAAAGGGTAAAGATTTTTCAGACACACCAAGTCCACAGCAAGTCCCAAGTTGGCCAGGCCAGGAAGTTTTTTCCCCCAAACGATAGCGTTCAGTTGGTTTAGAAACTGATCCAATTGGTTTATGGCAATTAAACTGTGGGTAAATTATGGCTTGTTGGTGGTGCAATAACCATATAACCATCTTGAAAAATATGAAAGTCATTGGGAAGGATTATCCCATGTATTATGGAAAATAAAAAATGTGGTGGAATATCACTGCTTGGTGGTTGAGCCACCCCTCTGAAATATGACTTCGTCAGTTGGGATGATGACATTCCCAATTGAATGGACAGTCATAAAATTCATGTTCCAAACCACCAACCAGACTATGGTTATGACAATTCAACTGTGGGTAAATTATGGTAAATGGTCATATTTCACTAACCTGAATGAACTTTTTTTAAGGCCATTTTGGGATGATTCGCTTTCCTAACCATGATTCCAATGAGGGAGAACAGCGAGGTCGTGATCAAATTCACCCAGAATTATGACTATAGTTAATCGCACCAAAATAAACCAAGTTATGACTAGGGCCCCCCCACCCTGTACTTATAAACCAAGTTTCCTTTTTGGGTACATTTAAACATGGACAAACCCAGACTATGTCCAACCAATTCCTATGTTTTTGTCAGGCTTACGTCCCCATCGTTGATGGTCGTTTTTTTGGTCTACCCTCTGGTAAACTAACATATATAACTATGGAAAATCACAATTTTTAATGGGAAAACCAACTATTTCTATGGCCATTTTCAATAGCTATGTTAAATTACCAGAGGGTAAGTCAAGGCGCCCTTGACCCCAACGAAAAATTCCTCCGAACTGGGGCAGCTCCAAAATGGCAGCGTCCAGCTTGAAAGGCAGCAAAAAATCACCATTCACAATCCATAAAACCAACCAACCAATCACCATTGTGTTTCCCAAAAATATCCAACTTTATCCTCGTATATATATATACACATAAATATCCCATGGAAAATCAGAATTCCAATTCTATCCCCATGAATGTGCCATGAAATCCCAATAAAACATGGAGAAATTATATTTCATTATTAAATCCCAATCATCAATGGATTCAGCCGATTGCAGGTGCTACCGCCATGTCTTCAGGCGCCTGCCGCTCCGTTTCACGGGCTGTCAGGCGAAGGTGGGCGCCGAGCATCAGCCAAGGAATGCACCGTTTAAGGTCGCTGCAGTAGTGTAGTAAACCACGTGTGTATGATAACTAGTGATAACTAGGGATACAAGCAGCATGGTAGGTATATGTATACATGTACATATATATATATATGTGAAATCTGCCACATTGCGATTCTGAAACCCCTTCCAGGGTCGATCTCAGCAGCTGCCTGTTCGTAATATGCACTGGTTTCTGCATGCCCTGCCTTCTGGGGTCGGCGGCAGGGGGCGTAAGCCCTTTAAAAATCTCAGCAGCTGCTTGTTTGTAACATGCATCGGGTTCTGTATGTACTGCCTATGGCAACACAGACTCACAGCACCATTGTGCTCTGAAATCATTAAAAGGTAGAGCTGCTCTGCGCGCACACTGGTCACATTTGACTCAGCTCTTCCCACTCTTTCCCATCAACCGTCAGGTCCGGAAAACAGAATTCTTTCCACAGCATACAACTTATCAACCGTAACTTTTCGGACATCAATAACCAGCTCACGCTTTGCGTAAAAAACATCAAACCATTGCCAGCATCCAACGCCCAGTTTCGCCCAAGATTGAATACGCTGAGAAGCTTGTGGATTGAGCATTTGCCGTGCCCGAAAAATTGCAACCTCCCCTTTTCGGATATAATCCCTAGCCGCCCGCTCTGATAGCCAACGCCCATAAAGCAAAATATCCTGCAAGCTAACACCTTGCCTTGCCAGTTCAGATGCTCCAGAGCGCCGAAAACTGTGAGTAGTCAGCTGCAGGTCGTCAGCACCCAGCAAGGCGCTGAGCTTTCGGATCCACCGAAGAGCGGAGGAGTAAGAAACTTCTATGATTTTGGCATCCTGACGTTTGGAAGGAAAACGCTTGAAAAAATCTGACACAAAGTGAACCACTGTGACATTGTTGAGAACTACCTTCTGCTCCATCCCTCGTTTGGTCAAGCCCAAACACAACACCACGCAGTCAGTCTGCAGAATCAAGTCAGCTTGCGTTAAAGCCAAAGCCTCCCGAACTCGCAGCAAACCAACAAAGCATAGCAAAATGAGCAAGCCCAGTTGAGGACGATTGAGAAGCGTTGCCATAATCACCATTGCCTGGATCAACTCAGGCGGCGCAGCCGGTGCCTGCCGCACTGGCACCAAGCTAGACCAGACATCGAGCACTTTCCAAGCTGTCTTCAGCTTGACTCGGGGAAAAATCTTTTGCACCGCTGACAAAGCCCACCCATACATGTTACGACTTTCACCTTGCTCATAGCCATCTAACACCCATTCGGCTAAAAAGGAGTCTTGCTCAGATTCATTCATCTTACTCCAGACAAGCCCATGCTCCAACAGACTATTGTTGAGGCCTTTGAGAGCTCCCAGGTACTTCTCTGCCGTTGATGCCCTCAAGCTCCCTATAGTAAGAAATGTTGGACTCGGTTGAGGCCATGGGAAGGAAACATGCCGCCTACCACTCCAAGGATCTGTCATCAAGCAGTCTGCAATGGGTTTGAAAGGTTTGTGGGGGAAAATGTAACCAGCATGTGAGGCATGTTGACATTGTTGGGTAAAAAGCCCTGCCAACTCATGACATAGAAATTCAGGATACTTCGCGGCCGGAGTTGTGCAAAAATGTCCCTGCGCATCCAAACCAATGAGAGGTGCATGCCCAAACTTATGATTGCAAAACCGAACAATTGACCCGGAGTTCCATGCCAGTAACAAACCAGTTGGTTTTCTGCTGCTCGCCCCAAACCGACATTGATCAACTACCCAATACTTCAACTGACAAAATTGTTTGAACCATGCCACTTCTGCTGTTGCAAAAAACGATGGAAAAGGCTCTCTGCCACGGTCAGCCGGGTGCTCCAGCCCTACCCAGCCACCCCGGAAACGAATCTCACCCAGCAACCCTAGGCACAGCAAAAACAAGACACTGCCAATTGCTACTGCTTTCCTTTCCTTTTCCGAGCAGTATGTCAGCGGCTGCCACGGATTGGTTCTGCCACGCAATGGTCGTGGGCCACCCCGCTGCGATAGTGGAACATGTCTTGCTGTACTGATTGTACTGCATGGGGGGGAACCAAAACCACCCAAAACACGACCACTATGGATCAACTGCAACAAACCATGGCCCACCGACTCCTTGAGTAAGTCACCGCTAGCTAGCTCGTCCAAGTCACCCACCCACGCAAGAGGATCAATGCGAATGCCAACAATATTGCACCCAATATTCACACACTGTTGCTCAACCATATCAACTAAGTCATGACAACGATCAGGCCCTGAACACAAATGAATGAAAAACATTGAGCCCTCTGCCCATGGTGGTAAGACACGCAAATCATAGTCCGCACCGGCTGCTGCCAACTCACTCTTGCATGTATCTCCTGACGACGGCTCAAACCACCGCGACGGAGTGTCCGCCGGATTTTCTGCTGAGGGGACCCAAGGGTAGAAAACATCATGCCCCCCACCTATAGAAACTGCTGCCACACGGCGACGCCTTGCATTGATGAGAATTGACGATGACCTTCCCTTGGAAAAAGCGCCCACGCACGCCGCTGAATCTAAAGGATGCACAAAACGACAACCATCATCTGAAGCCCTACGCAGTCGGTCTTCTGCACACCATGTCACCGCATCTGCTTCTCCCAGTGTTATGTGGGACGGGGCCCATGGGGTACCAATATGAAACCACTTAATCTTCTCCACCGGCAACCGGACCCGACGCAAAGGACACGTGTGCTCATGTGTGAGACCTACTGACCAGGGTAAGCTCAAATTGGTGTATACCCCTTTGTGAGATGAATAACGTGCTAACACCTGAACCACATGTTGAGGAACATACCCAAAAGACCGCCCCAGCCCTGACATCGATGCATCTGTAGCCTCGACCCTGTTGCTCCAACTGCTTGACAAATTAAATTCCGCAAATGGGATCATAATAGCTGAGCACAATAACTCCTCCCACACCTCATGCGGAAGTTCCACTGCACCCGGCTTCTCCTTGCGAATCTGTTCAAGCCAGCTGTAGGTTGCCAAGAAAAGAGACCTCAGGCAGGGACGACATGAATGTAGAAAACCATGTTTGCCAATAAGCCTCTCAATAACCTTGACATGAGTCCACCGTTGCATCAATACTTTGAAAGTTGCTTGAAATAACCATCTGCGTTTTTCCAGTGACAAGCCAACCCAATGCCCTGTAGGATGCACATAGTAACCTTGAATCTCTTCACCCCTTGCACCATCCACCGACTTATTGGTATTTGGAGCCACACCACGCAAAACCCACGCCGACTCTGCCCGACCCAACCACTCAGGCCCAATGCTAGCTACCTCCCCCTCGCTGCTATGTTCCAATGCCCAAATATCATCAATAATTGAACCCCAAACCGGAAGCCCAGGTGGTATGACAAAATCTGGGTGAACACGACAGTCTTGAGGAAGTTGTGCATCAGAGGTCACTACATCTGTCAGCCCTTGTGCCCATCCTGCTGGTGGCCCAAAGCCCATAGGGGCTGAGCAGGATGCTGGGTACAATCTCCGAGACCCCGCACGTCCATCAATGGATATAGGTGGGCCACACAACCATCGATGCCACCGCTTGCCTATCCGCAATCTGTGAAAATAGTGACGCGCATCCCGTTTTGAAACTGCAATGACGCCCGTTCGAGGCACACTCAAACATCTCAAAGCCGGGATATAGGCAAACTTAGGACGAGGAAGACGCTCAGGATCAAGGAGCTGGTTAACACTAGGGTCAGTTATAACTCTATCTTCATGGAGATCTTTCTTGACTGCGAATGCCCCGGCTAAAACTTTAACCCCGCGATGCTTGGCAACTTGGGATTCCTTTTTGAATTTGTGAAGCCCAGCCTTGACATTCCTCTTCACCAGCTCTGGATATGACGCTGCCAGCCATGCAAAGCCACGCTTAACACGACGAGGCCTCCTTCTAGACGCCAACAACAAGCAGCTCGGCTGAACCACTTGCTTAGACATCCCTGGAAAATGCACCGAAAGATGCTCTGCCAAAGGCACATCAGCAGCTCGCTCCGGCACACCGCCACGCACACCCAAAGCTAAGCTCACTCCTTCACCGGAGTAAAACTCGGATTGCCTCAAAAACTGGTCTAACCCCTCTTGGGTCAGCATTGGCTCATCAGTCATCACCATGGCCTCCAAAGCACACCCAATCCGTGAGTGCACTCTCCTGTGAGCGGCAGTCAACACAGGCTCATCCTCCCGTGCTGGCTGCCCTCCATGCATCCAATTAAGGCAAGCCACCACCACGTTGCCTCCAACCCGACACAATTTGTCAAGCCGCGATTCAGCATTATGCCCAATCAAGAAATTGCCAGACCGTGACATAGGCGTCAAAGGAAACACGTGTGATGGTGACTCCCTGCAACCGCTGAAACTTCCAGTTGCCTTGAATTTGTCATGCCTCGCAAGGCCCCCCAGCTGTTTCATGAGCGACTTGAACCGGTCACTAAGAGCAGTCCCTTCCATTCCAGCACCAAAACCCACCTCCAAGGCCCGCATGGCCCGCAGAAAGAAAGCTTCGAAGCCAGAATCCTGTAAAGAAGTGCCACCCATGCTATGCCAGGAACGCCTCACCCTCCTCCTCATGAGTTCGTCAGGGCCAGCATGCTGCTGGCTGCCAAGGACCGTTGGTTGGTCACCAACTCCAACGCCTCCGCCTTCTCCCACGATCCACCTTTTGCCTTTGCTTGCTGAATTGCCACAATCCTCTGACATAGCACATCCAAAGCCCTTGCAATCTCCCTTCTGTTGATGTGATCGAGGATCTCGGAGAGGGTCAAAACTTCTTTCTGATCTCGCACCTCTGACAAACCGCTGAATTGATGGGCCCAACTCACTGCACTGGCCTCTCGCAGCTGGCTGGATCGACTGATGCTGCCCTTCGACAGCCGAGCGTAAATCCCTGCCAGGAAATGGGCGGTCAAAGCCCCTGGGCTCTTCGCTGCAAACGCCAGAAGGTCTCCACGCTTCTTCAGACGAAGCTGGTCCACATGAGCCAAGTCTGAGTAGCTCACCTTCTGATCCTTTCCGTGCTCCCTCCACTTCAGCGGCTTGCCCTTGCCCGAACTTGAGCTGCTGGTCGAGGAGGAGCTTCTTGACCTGGATCGGCTTGACCTTGAGGAGCTGCTTCTGGAACTGCTGGATCTCTTGGATTTCTTCTTCTTCTTCTTGGACTTTTTGCTCTTTTTGCGGCTCTTCTTCCGCCTCTTGCCCTTGTCTTTGTCCTTCTTCTTTTTGTCGTCCTTGTCCAAAGCCAGTTGCTGCAGCTGAGTCACCGCGGCTTCCAATGCCTTCAACTCCGCATTGGAAGGGGATGGACCTCCTCCTGCGGCTGGCAAGCCCAGCCCTACAGCCCCTGGGTTTCCAAGTCCAGCCCCCACGCCTGCTCCTCCTGGAGCCATTGCCGGCGCTGGCAGCACCGCTTCCACCAGCGCTCCTCCGACTCCAGCTTGGTTGCAGGTAAATGCCCCTGGGTTGGCCTGCATGTGAGCCACAAAGCGATTGGCCTCTTGTGTGAGTGCCACCACCTCGACTACATCTGGGTTCCACTGTTGGTCGCAGGCAGGAGGAACGCAAATCCAGTTGACAGCCCCTTGGGGGATGCCAGCTGGGGCTCGGCGAGCACCGCCTCCCAAAACAGGAGCTGCAACACTCAAAGCCACCGGCCGGACGACTGTCCACATCCATGCACTTCCATCTGCAGCCGTTGTGCGTCCTATGAGATCTGATCAATCTACTGACACCCCTGCCACCCATATCTCGTCCCAATCAGGCGGACGGGATACCAACAGAAAAGTTCCCGGTTGATATGCCGGGGCCGCCACAGCAGCCATGCAGGTTAGGTCTGTATCCCGCTCTGATCTTGGATGGGATAATGGCCCCAGCTGACTGCCCCGTGCACCACTGCCCAATCTCTTCGCCCAGCTGCAAACTCGCAAAAGGAAACTGAGAAAGTAACAAAGCACTAGCACAATCAGCCTACAGGCTTCCAACAATTCGTGACGTAGCTCCCAACAAATGACCAGACTACCCAGATTCCAAATCAAATTACGCCAAGGAGACCAGTCAAATGGAGGAATCAACTCTTGCAGCACCCCGCGGGTAGCAACCAATGCCAAGTGGCCAGACACTTCACCGACCACCTGGCGAAGCCACCAGCTCAATGACAGGCCGCCTCCAGCTGCCCCTATGACCAGTGGTGCCACGGCGCGCATCAATGAGGAAAGAGTTCTTGAGCAACAAAAAGTGAGTGAAAACACAGTCGGCCATCTCCATGTTGATTCACAAACAACGCGTTTCAAAGGAGAAAGTCTCAATATATATATATATATATGTATGTATGTATGTATGTACGTACGTATGTATGTATGTGAGATTATGTGAGTGTGTGTGTGTGTATAGCTACTATATATCATAAGTATATAGATGTATCTACCAAAAGCATTGACATCATAGCTGGTCTATTACCATCAAGGTTTATGGCAAATATTTCTACAAAGTTCATGGGCTTAAACCTATAACTAGGGGGGCACCACCGTGTACCTAGGGATATAATGGGAATCAATGGAACTAATGGGATAACCATGGTATTTCAGCCATGGTTATCATAGTTATCATAGTGAAAGCCAAAAAAAAGGAGAGTCTCAGAACATCTTGGAGAAATTTGAAAAACAATGGACATATTCTGAATACCCTGGGATTATTAAAGTAAAACATAGTAAAACCATGCCCAAAGAGGTAATTATTTTGTGAGGTGTGTTTTTTCATAACCACCAGCCCTGGTTGGCGAATGGGATGGTGGCATTAGGATTTTTCGTGGCTGGATCCTTTCAAAATTTCCCCAAAGATTGGCCGGGATGAAGTTGATCGTGAGATAACAATGGTGACAAAATGAGCTTCTAACATTAATGACTGGCTGGTGGTTGACCTACCCCTCTGAAAAATATGAAAGTCAGCTGGGGTTACTATTCCCAATATATGGAAAATAAAAAATGTTCCAAACCACCAACCAGATGAGATCAATCTCTTTTTCGATTTTTTTCGATATATAACAATCGGTAACGTCCTACGTCCTCAGCCCTACCCGTTTTCACTCATCCCATTGGGTGTCAGTTGCATGTTTCATGGTGCGTTTTACGTAGGGAATCTGGATGGGTTGCTGGGGGTTGCTGGGATTATTATATTATGGATCATTCCCAAAAATTCCCTACTAATTAAGCACCAGTAAGCGTTTCATGACGGTTAGAATGTAAACCAAGTTGGTTGACCGTCATGGCTGAGTGAATTGCCATGTAGAGTGATTGCAATTTCCTTCAGGAAAAATCTCCGCCCTGTCTTCAACCGAACGACGTTTTTTCATCTCTACTACATGTTGCCAACGGCATTTCTTCCAAAAACAGAACATGTTTGTGTGAAAAGGCAATGTTTCTGGAGGAAAATAAAACAGAACAACATTTCCCTATCCAGATTTAAAGGCTATGTGGGGACGATTTCCCCTATTTCCCCAATGCAATTCCCACCGCACCGGGGTCTCGGTATGTCTCGGTCACTATATATTTACCTGAAGTTATCAACCCTCAAGGTCGCTTTTTTTTTTTTACAATAGCGACCCCTGTGCCAGTTCCGATCTGAACAATGATCACTACAGGCTGATGGTTCCTGGTCAGTTTACTACTGTGGATGGGCCAGCGAAATCCTGCACCACCAAACGGATGGTTGAAACCCCAGAAATCCCAGAAATCATCGGTTCAACAACCTATCAACTGGTGCAGGATTTCGCTGGCCCATCCACTGTATGGTTTACCCAAGCCATGTGCCCTAGCCATCTGTGCTCAAACAGTCGAGATCTTGGCTTTTGCTGAGCTCGGTCGTGGCAGCCATAAGGTGACTTGGGGCACCCCTCAATGGTTTTGGTGGATGGGATTTCTTAAGGTTGGTTGATTGGTTAACAGACCCAAATGGGTCTGGATCAAACCTGGATTTACCGTCAGATTTCCTCTAAATTATTCATTCGTCAAATTCATCGAACATGAGTTTGAACGGCTGCAAGCTGGAAGAACTTAATGGAGGCTTCTAGAAAGTCAGTTGGATCATATACAATTTTGGACCCGTCTCTAAAGATATCCATATATCTGGCAGAACAAATGTTTAGCTGAAGGACAAGTAGGAATCATCATTCCAGTGACGTCACAGAGACATCATTCGAATTCCTCCAGGTTATATCATCCCCAAACACCTTCATTCTGACCCTGCCAGAAATCAGATCGGTCCCCTGAGTTTCGCACACCCCTGGGACCCTGGGAAGGGATCCGCTAGCCTTTTGGGTACCAAAGATGGATACTGTGAAATCAAAACCTGATTTGTTTACACCATAAGTCCCGAAATTAAATTCCAGAAGATTCATAGCCTTCCTCTCCTCCCTTCTCACCCCCAAAAACGTTTCCTTAGGAGAACTAATAGAAAAAGCTGAATTGAGTTGATTTTAGGTCAACTTGTGCATGTACAACTACGTATTGATTTCCTGTGTTCAGCGTCATCTCACTTGCCCGTAATGCCCCCCATTTAAGTGTCTAATTTTGTTTTTTGCTGTTTATATAAATAATAGGAGGGTTCACTCGCCACAGTTCAACCACGGTCGATCGTACTCGGTATGCCGCGGATAAGACCCCAGAGCTTCCAATAAAGCTGGATTAAGCTGAATGGATGTTTGTTTGAAGGGTGAAACAGTATGTTTCACAAGAAACAAGCCTTCAAAAATCAAGTAAATAACACTTAGACCACCTTAGTTGCACTTAAATTCATCTAAATTCAACTTAATTCAAATTAATTCAGCTTAATTCCACCCAATTCAACTTACAGCAATCCAATTTAAAACATTTTTCCATGATTAATCATAATTGTTGGATGTAAACATGGTAAATATATCGATGTATTTCATGGGATGAAGCTAACACAACCAACGTTTGCGCAGCAACGCGGGTGCCCCAAGTGCACCCGCAAGGGTGCCCCGGCAGCTATACAGCCTGGATCTTGTCAGAAATAGGTGAGCTAAGCTCCTCGGGCAAGGATCCAATGCCAATGCCATGGTGCCAAGATGAAAATTGGGTAATGGCTTACCATGGTTTAAAAAAAGATCATACATCTATGAAGTTATCTTAAATTCTTATGATAATGGCTTACCCATTTGGATAATGGCTTAATGTGGTTAAAACAAAAATAAACCACCCATTTGGGAATGGTCTATACCACCCATAGAAATGGTGATTTTGGGGATGGTTTATGGCATTGTTTTAACCACATTTAAAAAAAACCTTTAGATTCACAAGTAGTGGATTTTCCATTGAGAAACGAAAAGATCATGTGGGTAAAACAAGAATCTGCTTGATGGTCTGAACCATCTTTAAAAAATATTAGTCAATGGGAAGGATTATCCCATATATTATGGAAAAATAATCCAAATGTTCCAAACCACCAACCAGCTAGAATTTCACGAGTGTTTATGGCAGTTATCATCATAGTTAGTGGATTTACCCATTAAAAATGGTTATATTTTTACCAAAAGGACACTATTGATAAACAATAATCTTGTAAAATCATTAATGGTAAACCAAAATACATTATGGATTTAAGGTTCATTATGTTATTAAATAATCATTATTACCATGGTGATAACCAAAAATCGTGGTTTATAAACACATTGCCATGGTGATAACCAAAAATCGCCATCTCGAATCTCGCAACGGATGCGAAACTTCTTCTGAATGATGTACATATATAGGTTTAACACATAGAATGTATAATAGTAACAAATCAATAATACGTATATATAAACAAATAAACATATTTATATATATATACACAATTAAAAAATCTTAGATCAAACATATGTAAACGTATCTATATACAAACTATATGTATAAGTATATGTATATACAACCATATGCAAATACATGCAATATATGTATACAAATACATGATACATTTATAGTAATATATATATATATAGGCTAGGTCTTTGCTACCATCGCATTTCCAAAGGCACAACCGATGGGCCCTCCGTATGCACAGTGAATGAAAACGCGATCAGAATGAGTGGATGATGAACAACAGGTCTGCTACCCAAAAGAACGCAACAGCAGACAGCGATACAGTAGATTTGAGCTACGTGGGACGGTTTGTATGAACATCCTCTTATTTTTGAAAGTCAGCAGCTAGAGTTAGCAGTACCCCCAACCGCTTTGTCATAAAGATGTTCAAAAGATCTTACAAACCAGCTATCCAATGGACAAATCATCTGAGTTGACTGCATGCCCTTGCGGTATCTTTAAGGGAGTTCGAAATCCAATGTAGCAAATAGAATGGTTCTGAAGAAATACAATTGCTGCTTTAGCCCATTGAACACAGCCTCTGCGGAAGTAAGGGTATACTTCAGATACAAGTAAGAACTCATACAAAATAATCCCGCCGGATCTAAAGCCGAGCTAGCGTTTCAGTACGCTTCAACTTGACACATGCATAATTCACTGCAATTTCCAACGAAAAAAAAACTCTCTCATTTCTGGGAAAACCACACACCAAAAAAAGTGCATTCAAACACTTTTGTTTTCGGTCAAAATGCTGTAAAAACCAAGGTTTCAAAGGTGGACATGTGGTGTTTTCAACATCTTCCTTCGGCGAACTAGGTGTGAGCAAGTTAGAAGTGATCAATAATGTGTGCACAAGGTGGTGCCCCCCCAGTCATAAGTTGGTTTATAACCCCCATCAAGTATAGGTATATATATATATATCTCTCTACCATGAACCCAAGCTATTGAAGTTATTTCAACCAACTTGGCTAACTATGGGGCACCACCTTGTATGAACGTTAACATCCCACGCCAACCCACCCCAACCCCAATTCCGAATCAGAGCCGTTTTCGGCTCCGATTACTCTTCCCATCAGCTTCCCATCCTTGCACTGCTCCCCCCAACGATACTTGCATTTTCCATGGTTTTGTACAACCGAAAACAAGTCCGCAAACACTCAGGCAATTTCGAAGCGGCAAAGAGTTAGGTCCTGGCCACTTGTTTTGCCAGCCATTCGGTTAAACAAAGAACAAACCAAAAACCAAGGAACCAAAAAAACAGAAAAAGAAACAAGAACAAAAAAACATTACAGGACCCAACTCTCTGCATCTTCCCCCCCTCGGTGTATGCATTTTTTTTGTTTCTTGTTTTTTCAGGTGTCCTAAACTAAAACCGGAGAAAAAACACCAAGACCCCCAAAACAAACAACAAACTAAAATACAAGGAACCAAAAACACAAATACCAAAAAAAACAAAAACACAAAAACACATGACAGGACCCAACTCTCCGCATCTTCCCCCCTCCCCTTGGGGTATTCAATCTTATTATGTTTGGGTTTCTTGTTTTAATGTTTGCTTCTTTGGGTTTTGTATGCTGTAAAAAAGGAAAGAAACTGTAAAGGTGAGATTGCAAAGAGCAAACTGACCTACTGCAGGTGCATAAAACACACAACAGACCGCACTCTCAGGCTGTTTCCTTGTGAACAAACATATACTCCAACAGCCAAATATGCCATATAACATCTTATGTTTTATTGCATGATATCATATAACATAATAGTCCGTTATGTCATTTTATCTTATAACTTTAGTAAATAATTTGCCACAACACATTTATCCTAAAAATATATATATATCTATATATATAATATATATAACTTACATTGTACTATATATTACATGATGTGTTATCAATTTGTATTACATCGATATATTATATATATATGTAAATACTGATTCATTTGTTACTTTAATTAGACATTATGTAGATCTGTTTAGACGTTCCTCTTGACACCCTGGCTTAGTGTTGGATCAGCTCATGTTCCTTCTTAGGAGTACTTCGTATTTGGGGGAATGGATTGAACATGTCCACATTTTAAGGTGCGGAACGCCGCTGCACCCAATTTCAGGAACTGATCAGCTGCCAAAATCACAAGCCCTGGGCCCAAAATCTCGTCTCACGCCACAAACAGCGACACGCGGGCAGCTCGGCAGCTCAGCAAGTTTTTCCACCGAGGCACCAAATCAACAGGTCACAAAGACACAGTCACGCTTTCAGCCTTTGTTCGATGTGGCTCTCGGCATTCCGTTTCACTAAATCTTCATGGGGGAACTGTTCTTCCGGAATACGGGTCCCCAAGAAATGTGAAAGTGCTGACCAACCGTCAGACCAGTTGTACACCAGCAAGCGCTCAGGTGGGATAACATCTTGAACTCGCTGGATGTGGCGGTGATAGCTTTTCAAGCAAGTGTCCTTGTCTTCTGGACTGAGATTGGCAAAATTGCAGCCCCAGGATTGCATTTGTGAGCAGTTTCTAGGCAGACTGTGAAAAATGCCTTTGACGAAATAGTACCAGTAGCTCTGAGCTCCCTTGAAAGTTCCACATAGTTTTCGAACCATCTCTCTGCATCAGAGATGGTGAGCAGAAACTTTGCTTCAGGAAATGCTGCCATTATCTCCTCGTACATTAGCATCACCGGTTCATCCATGGCGGCATCATAACCACCAAAGACCGCCAAAGCATCATCCAAGGAACCATTTCCAAAGAGATACCTGGTTGGGGGGCGGGTCATCACTGGACAAAAGGCAGAACAATTTGTGTTCTCATTCCATTTTCGAGGATACGAAATTGAAAACAGAACCTTGCTATTCTTCGTATTCAGTTTGTTTTCAATTTGGTTTTGAAGCGCGACGAAGAAATGATATCCTGTTTTCAACACCTGTTTCCTCAAACGCGTTTTGTTATTTCTATGAGGGGTACTTTTGGAAGCGACTTAACCATCACTCGTCATACATCCGTGGAACTCGGAAGGTCAGAATGAAGGAAAAAAACATTGCTATTTTACGGACCCCCTGGATTACTTGAAACTGTAAACCACTTGTTTCACTTGTTAGTAAACCACGATTTCATCGTTGCAGCCACAACATATTGATTGATTTGATTGATTCTACTGGGTTGTCACTGACAAATGTCCTTTCTCCCAAAATTTTGCGAAAAGATGCCCACACAATGCAGGACGCACCGATTCTGCCTCATACCCAGTGTGCAACGGCTTCAAACCCAGTATCTTCATGACTTCGTGCATGGTCTGCGTCCCTGTTCGGGGCGGTCCCACGTCCAAGAGTTTGAACGCATCAACCATCACGGTGCAAAGGAACCATGACGCAAGCTTGAGGCCGGCCACGCCCATGGCAGGGACACGAGAACTTGGACAAATGGACAAATCGAGGGGTTTCGGTCTCTGAAATCTGCGGGCATTTTTGGGCTGATCATCTCAAACAAGAACAATGAAAAATCGGACTATCACCATGCAAATGACTTCTCCATTCAGATGACTTGACTGTCACACCATGGCAAGAACTTTCTCCCCAATTAAAACAATGCCTAATTCACTCCAGGAAGATAAATTGATTCTCCCCAAACTATTCCCTCTTACAGTAAATCCTTTAGAAATCCTATCCGGTTCTTGGAAGGTTTGCTCTCACTTCTCAACAGTCAAAAGTTGAAGTTGAGGCCAATTGATTGCGTTGAAAAATTGATGGCAATGTGGACAGTGAAGTTCTTTTTTCTGCAGTGGTTGTTGCAATGGGGCACCTGGACCTATTGAATGTGTGCAAGTGTGTCTGCGTGTGTGAACGTTCGCATCCCATGTAAGCAGAATGGAACCTCATTGGAAAATGGAAAAACACAAAAACACTCGTAGGGAATTAGAGCCGTAAGCAAGAATAATGACATGAAGGGCCATCAAAAAATAAAAAACAAAGATCATCAAAGATCATATATATGATAATGATAATCCATTGGTTTCCACTATCTTGGCCATCAAATATGGTTAGATGTTGAGATTAAACGCAACAAATGGGTATCATCCAGGAGACATGGTTTCCCACCAGGTTTCCAGACACTCCAAATTAACATGGAACCCGCCAAATACAGCGTTGGAAAATTACTTTCTACCAGCACTTGTCAATTTTCAAGGTGCTCATTTGGCAGAACGTATCTTTACTGTTGGTTCATATCTGACATTACATTTTAACGCCGGAGAGGTACTGCTCGTATCTCTTTCGGGCAACTGGGGTTTGGCTAAACAGCGCTCCAGTGATCATCGCTATGTAATTTTAGATACCCCACTTCAGTTTACCACATTTCTCGAATGCATGCAGATTGTACATGAATATATTCCCACGCGCAGTGAAAAATAAAACATGATTGGTGGTTCATCCCAGTTAGTAAGTAGGTTATAACCCTGATTCTAAATGGGCTAAGTAACTGAGGGTTATAACCCACTTATTAAGTGGGATGAACCACCATAAATCATAAATCTTCAAGTGGAACGGGGCATAGAACGGTCAAACATCGTTGAATTCCCGACCTTTCCTCGCCGAATGGGATGGTCGAAGACGTCGATGGCCAATATGACAAGCAGAAACGCGAATCGGGGAAGTTTGAATACGATACATACCCTCCGGTAAACTAACAAAAAACTATGGAAAATCACCATTTTATAGCTGGGAAAATCCACTATTTCGACTGGGCCATTTTCAATAGCTATGTTTGTTTAGCAGAGGGTACATCTGCGAAAATTATCTGGTTGGTGGTATACCTAGCCCTCTGAAAAATATGAGTTCGTCAATGAGAAGGATGACATCCCATATATGAAATGGAAAATAAAATTCATGTTTGAAACCACCAACCAGGATACATACCCTCTGGTAAATTAACATAGACCCTCAGAATCACAATTTGTTAGAGGAAACTAATCTTTCAACCTCTATCTGGCAGGGTCGAACTGTTAATGGAGGGTTCTAATATGGGAAAATTCTAATACGGGCCGTTTGGGGATGATTCCTTATTAACCATGTTTCCAGTGAGGGAGAACAGTGAGGTCGTGATCAAATTTGCCTAGATACATGGAGCATCTGATCATCGACCACGAATCACCATATATCATTGTATACCATATAATCCATTTATATACCATATATATATAATACCTATCATTGTATAATGTGCCCAGATTAATCTATTGCCATTTTCCATTGTTTTTTTGTATGTTTACCAGAGGGTATCACCATCATATACAAGTACCATCATATACCATCATTAAACACCATATTCCATTAATAAAAGTTACCATCTTGTTGTTTAACAGCCATGGAAAATCCCAAAATAAATGGAGGTTTATAGCTGGGAACATCATCTATTTCTATGGGCCATGGCTTCCATGGCTATGTTAAATAACCAGAGGGTAACCATCATATAATATACCGTCCTTAATCACCATATTCCATTAATAAAAGTTCACCAGATTATATTCCATCAATATCATTAATCAACATATTCTACCATATATAATACCATCATATACCATATATCATTGTATAATGTACCCAGATTAATCCATTTCAGAGTCTTGCTGTTTGGTGGTTGACCTACCCCTCTGAAAAATATGGAAGTCAGTTGGGATGATTATTCCCAATACCCTCTGGTAAATTAACATAGACCCTGGCAGATAGGGGTTGGAAGACTAGTTCCATTAAAAATTGGCTATTTTCAGGGTCTATGTTTATTTACCAGAGGGTATATGGAAAAATAAAAAATGTTCCAAACTACCAACCAGCTTGGGATGAGCCACGAATTACGCGTCCCACGTGACGAAAAGTTTGGCTTTCGAAGTCATGACGAGGCACTGCCGTGGCTTCGCTCTGCTCGTCGGGTTGATGGTTTCTCCTCGGCTTTTTTTTTGTGCCGTAAAAAAGTGATGGCTATGATATGATACAAGGTGGTGCCCCCGTTGGACCATAGGAAACCAGTTAGGAAAATGTGGGAAAACCATAGGAAAACCATAAAATGGTGATTTAAGCCACTAAAATGGTGATTGAATGGGGTGTATAGCTGATTTATGACAATTTGGGGGGCACCACCTTGTACGATGACAATTTCCATGGAATATCAGTGGTACCTTGGCACTTACTGAGGTACCTTGGTGCTTTTGGATCCAAGCATTACATAGCATTACAAAGTCAATGGGAATTTGAGGATCCTAAAATGGAGGTACTGTACCATATAAGGCCATATTTTGTGGGGAGATTCCCTTACATAGGCCTGCAAAAATAGGTCTTATATATGGTAGGTACCTCCAATCAATTGGTTCCTGAAATGGCCAGTGATTTGTTGGTTTTTGATCCAACCGCCTTAAGTTAGTTCGATCATGATATATCTACCATGAAACCTAAGGTTTTTTTCAAGGCCTTTTTCAGAAATTCTTCTGGGGTTGACTGAAAATGAGCTGTGCCCCAAATCACTCATGGATTGTGAATGGGAAAATTGATCATCAACGATTAAAATCAATTTTCAAACAAACCCATGTAGGGACAGATCATGTAATTTGTCTTGCGATCCAGCTGATGAATTGTAAGTTTAATAGATTATGATAAATGGATTGCTATCCAGTAAGCCAACATAACTATGGGAAATAATTTTGTTTCATAGGTACATCATCGAACTAAACATCGCCAATCTTAGATACCCTACAAAAAAAGACAAGTTCTTAGCTGGTGAACGTAGATAATCCCATTGATACCAAAAGACTACAGGATTAGTTTCTACCCATTCAGTTTAACCCACTTGGTGAACTCCATATTTATCCATTTTTGCTGGTTAAATCACCATTTTCCTATAGTTTTCCTATGGTTTTCCAAGGTTAACCCTACCAAAATGGCCCACAAAAATCGCTACGAGTTGGATCTCGACACTTGGATCTCATGGAGCGATCCCATTTTCGAAAATGGATCTCAGAGGGGCAACAGGAATTCAACCACTGGAAATGGTAAAATGATATGGTTATTATATGGTTATCATACGGTCAATGATGGTTACCCTCTGGTAAATTAACATAGACCCTGGCAGATAGGGGTTGGAAGACTAGTTTCCATTAAAAATTGGTGATTTTCAGGGTCTATGTTTGTTTACCAGAGGGTAATGATGGTTAATACAAGGTGGTGCCCCCCAAACGTTATAAAGTGGTTTATAACCCCCATTAACTAGTTCGATATATCACCTATAAATATCATAGTTATTGGAGTTATAAACCAACTTAGCTATCTAGGAGGCACCACCTTGTATGGTGCCCGCCAGTTGTGTTTGATTACCAAAAGGTAAACATAATGATAAGGGCTAGTCATAATAACCATTATCCCATCTAACATCTGGTTGGTGGTTAACCTACCCCTCTGAAAAATATGAGTTCGTCAGTTGGGATGATTATTCCCAACTGAATGGAACAAATCCACATGTTCCAAACCACCAACCAGTGTTTGTTTATAAACCCCATACACTCGAGTTATGAGCACCATAAACCACAGCTATTGGAACTACATGGGAATGGATCAAAAAATGCAATGTTCCATATTAGGGACGGAGGAACGTCGAGTTATACAAGCTATTTTGGGGCGAACAGCAGGGTGCAAAGGTTAAATTGACTCACTTCAAAGAGGGTAAAACAACACGAGTATAATTTGAAAGCAGTCCCTGAATCCAAGATAATTATATAGATATAATTAGTATTAATTAGTAATTTCTTCAGCACATGAATCAATTTTAGAATATACATCTACCAATCCAAACCCAATCCACCAAATCAGTTGTTCAAGCTTCACCATGAATCCAGCGGCCATGAATCAGTAACCGATTGATTGGAGCTACCGATTCACCATTAATGTTTTAAGCCCATGGGGATTTGCCCCCAATTTCCATGGATTTATATGGTACAAGGTGGTGCCCTAGTTCGGAATCGCGATTTGTTGGTTGAAATAAGTCCAATTTCACTTGGGTTTATGGTAGATATACCGAACTACTTAATGGAACCCCACATTTGAACGACCATCCCTCACTGAGTCAGAGCGCATCAGGGCTGACAAAAATCCTAAGCTGGAAAGCTATCCCATTCGGAGAATGATTTCCCTCCATATGCTCCATGTATGGAATATTCATCGATATGTACCCCAAACATCATCCATTCATGTAGGTAAATATACCATACATCTGGGTAAATATTATAATATGTCACTAACCTCAATTATGTTGGGCCATAAAAGGGGATGATTTCCCTTGTTAACTTATTGTTAACCATGATGCCAGGGCTCGGGGGAACAGTGAGACTCAGTGAGGCCTCCACAGTTTCACCAGTTGGACGAGTGGACGACCCTACGCGGCTACCCGGCGAGAAAGCACATGGCACCTAAGGCCCGTTTT